CGCTGGCTCAAGGCAACCCACGTAAGGCTCTTCTTGTTCCAGGGGTACTGAATGAAGCTAATGGAACACGTCTAGCCTGAGTTCTCCTATTTGTCTTCCAGAATACTTTAAGCTGGGCTTTATCCTTCAGGCAGGTGATTGGGAGGATTTTTCTCTCTAGACAATTTAACTAGCCAGGAACAATGACCCAAGGATATTGATACCATATGTTCCCGATCAACAACCCAGCTACATCATTCTACAGTGAAGTGCTCAGAAAACAAGTCCCACCACGTGCTCTGCGTTTCCATTCGCCCCTTCAACTTCTTAGTGCCCTACTCTTAAAAGCGGGTGGTAATGAAGGGCCATTCTGAGTGATTGATGGAGACCAGAGTAATAGCAAACAATTACTGAGAAGAATAAATATTTGAGAAGAAAACTTTTATTGTTGTTCAGTGCTTCAAATATGTTTTCTGAAACTTTTGATCATGGCTTGGGTAGAGATTTACAAAACAGATCATCATTTTACACGAGCGGTGCATATACATTTTTGTTTCAACACATGGAATGCCACCCCTTGTGCAGTTACCTGTCCCACCCTCTCCTGTGTTTTCGGTTTCCGTTCCTTCCTTTCCCAACCCTTTATAACTTGCCATGGGGAATACTGCCCCTTTAAAAAAATCTTAAGTGGTTGATTAATCTAACATAGGGGGTGATGGATGGGTTGGGAGGTAAATTCAGTTCTAGACCTGAATTTGTGACTAAGGGCCATAGTCTTGGGGGTCTACCCCAGTCTGTCTGAGGAGTAAACTTGATCTCTTTTATGATTTTGAGTTTTGATCCACAATTTCCTCCCACTCTATTTAGGATCTTCTAATGTGGTCCTTTTTAGAGTAACAGTTGAACTATCTAGTTCTTCTGGTCTCAGGGTCATGGAGGCCAATGTTTGCTTGGTCCATTACACTAAATGTTTCCATGTCTTTAATTATCATTCCTCTTCCCTCTGGATGGGGAGAGACCAATACCTGCTCATGAGCTTTTAAGACCCCAGTTGCTACTCACCAAATTGGATATAGAACATTATCTTTGTGAATTATGTTTTGCCAGTTGACCTTATGTCCTTTGAGACTATGGTGCTGTTCCCTGGTGCGCCGTGATTCATTGCCAGAAGGTGTTTGGTTATGTCTAAAAAGTTTTCATAACTTTGTCTCCTATATGCTACATCACATTTATGAATATAGTAAATTGCTGCTGGTGTCATTGAGTGCATTCTGACCCACAGAGAAGCTATGCACAACAGTACAAAACACTACATGGTCTCATGTGCCAATTGTTTCACTGCCTAAGCCCATTGTTGCAATCCAGCTTATCGAGGGTCTTTCTCTTTTTTTCACTGCCCTTCCACTTTACCAAGCATGATGCTCTTCTCCTGACAACATGTGCAAAGCATGTAAGATGAAGTCTTGCCATCTTTGCCCCTAAGAAGTTCTCTGGCTATACTTCTTCCAAGGCAGACTGCTTTGTCCTTTTAGCAGTTCATATTTCAATATTCTTTGCCAGCACAACAATTCACTACAATGTGTCAATATAAATACTGTTTGTTAAATCTATATATGTTCATGGATATCTTATGTTCCTTCCCACACCCACTTAGCCTGTATATCTACCAAGTTAACTACTTTTAGAAGTATTAATATCTTTAGAAAGTATTCATTTTCTCACAGAAAAACATTTATCTGTGGAGTAAGAATGACGCTAGAAACATTTTTATTTATTTAACGAAATGCACATTTTGAAGGACAAAATGGTACAAAATTTTACAAAAAATAAGACTCCTTTT